TTCTGGTCATCTGTCCCTGCATAGAGGATATGCAAGTAAATATCCTGACAGACAGGGGAGGAATAGCGGGGTTCCCACAGGTGCATGCCTTCAGCCATGCCCCGTTTATATGTGTAATCCCTGAATGTTCAGAATTGTTTTAACGAGCTTATTCTCAGAGCACCTGATTTAAAAAATATACTTTCCTTGACCAATCCAGAGGACTGCCATGGGGTTGGTGTTGAGCCCCGCTTGCCCAGACGCAGAGAAGAAAACTGTGCCAGATGAGGGCTGAGCTAATCCACCTTCCGTACTCTGCCAGGCTCGCCGACGTACCGCAGGGCGCTGGCCCTCCTGCCAGGTTCCCGGGGCTGCCTGAACTTTGGGGTGCTCGTGGTGCCGTGAGGCTCGCCCTGCTAAACCGCTGCAGGAGGAGGGATACGTCCTGCACGCAGCTTCCCACGAGCCGGGGTGCGCCGTCTTGCGCGACGGGGGCTCGCGTTCTCCCGGGGAAGCACCGAGGGAAAGAGGGAGGGATGGAGGCGGCGGCGCCGCCGCTGCGGCCCCCTGAAGGCGGGGGCGCGCCGTCACCGCCGCCTCCGCTCGCGCCGGGTGCGGTCCCCGCCGGCGCCGCCCCACGGCCGTCGCGTGCTAACGCGGGCCAACGCGGGCCGCGTCCCCGCCACCGCGGGGCCCCCGGCCGGGCCCGTGACCGGAGGCGGGGCCGGGCGGCCCGCAGGGGGGAGCGGAGCGGGCGGGCGCTTCGTCCGCGCCCCGGGGCGGAGGCGGTGGGGGCCGGGGCCGCAGCCGCGGCACAGAAGGGGACTTCGAAGGCGCCATAGAGCGCGGGCACCGCCGAGACGCGCGCGAGGCGACGTCGACCCCGCGCCCGTTCCAGAAGCTTCGTGGCGGGGCGCCGCGCGGTGCGGGGCTGGGCCCGGCGCGGGCACGTGACGGGCAGGCGGGAGGGAGGGAGGGGGGCGTGAGCGGGCGGTGCGCGTGCGCGCGTTGCGGCGCGATGACGTCAGCGCGGTGCGCACGCACGTTGTTCCCAGCTGGCGGACACACGGTCCGCGTGAAGAGAAAGGGAGCGGGGGGCCCGCGCCTCGCCGCACGGTAACTACCGCCCTGCGGCCGCCCGCCGCCCTCGGCCGAGCCCCGCGTTCGCCGCGCCGCGCCCCTGCTCCGCGCGCCGCCTCCCCCCGCGCTTCCCGCCCCGACTGCGAAAATTAACACCCGGCGCACCACGAGGCGCCGCGGCCGGGCCGAGCCGGGCGGCGCGGGCCGCTCCCGGCGGTTACGCGAAGCGCCGCTTCGGGGCCGCCTCGCCGCTGGGGAGTCGCCGCCTCGGGAGCGTCCGCCGCGTCGCGCCCCCTCCGGCCTCGTCCGCGCATCGCCGAGCCGTTGAGGAGCGGCGCGGGCGCCTCGCGGGCCCCGCTCCCGCAGCCGTACGCGCCCGGCCGGGGACGCCGCCGCCGCGCGGGCGGCCGCTTCCCGGAAAGGCGCGGGCGGCTCCCGGCGGCGGCCGCCTCTCCCGTGCCGGGGCTTCCGGCGGGGGCCGTCCGGAGCGGGGAGGAGGGGCGGCGGCGACGAGTGCTCGGCCGCGCCGCACCTGCCCCGCTCGGGGCGCCCGCCTTCCGTTCGGGACGCGCGGGCGGGCGGCGTTGAACGGCAGCGCCGCGCGTGCGGTGCCCGCTGCCATTGGAGCGCCGTGCCGTGCCTTGTCCCGCCGCGCCGCCTGCTCGCCGCCCGTTGCTGCCTGCGGCACGAGAAGCGCGCGCGGAATGCCCTGCCCGGGAGCGCTGCGTGCGGCGGCCTCGCCTGGTTCGCATAGAAGTTGTCTCCTAACCGTGGTTTTGCGTTTTGCGCGTTTGCCTTCCCGCACGTTCTAAAGCTGCTTTCGATGTTTTTGCTTGGTGTGCTGACCAATCAGAGGTCTGCTTTTAAATATCGGGTCTGCGCACGGCTCATATATAGCTGGAGCCGAGTATAACTGAGGCTTCCACAAGTACGTGGAGCTCCCTGTTTTAATGAAAGTGGCTGCTGTGTCAGACCAAGTGTAAGCGTGTGTGAAATTGTGCTGGGAATATATGGTGCTGGTACTGAAGTTACGTCGCTTCTGCCTGCTGTAATTGCCCGCAACCACAAACATCCCAGCCACATCTGATACTGGGAGCACTGCATACCCCTGAACTGACTGAAATAGCACAGTGCTGTTAAATACTGTGAAACGGAACAGTGACTCAGGAGTCTTCTGTATTTGTTGTGTTTTGGCTGAACACGTGGCTGGCATGTTTTTGAAGCAAGCTTAAAGCCTTTCTGTGAATCTTTTACCACATGTAGAATCACTTTAATAAGCTGGTGTCGTTTGGCAGTATTGTGAAGTCTGTAAGTATGTGGGAAGTCATGTGCAGTTTTGAATGTGATTGTGTTCTTCTTGTGATGGCTCTTCCTTCTGTGTTCTAGATTCTCTTAATTCGCTTCCTCTATGGGGAAGTATTTCTTTCTCCAAGTAAAAGTGGCATCCTCCAAGTAAAAAGTGGCAAAAGGTGTTTTCCAAAACCTGTGCAGAACATTTTTTTTCTCCAATTTATCTTATGAATGTTCCAAAGTTATGAATAGTGAAGGTGGAAGGATTGAAGTAGGTCTCTTGTATTCCTTTGGTGTTGAGAATGTTCCTCATGGAATTGATGAATGTTGACCATCTTCTGAGTTTTTAATTATGCCCCACAGACACATGGTAGCTGCTTTGCACAGGCAACTCCAGCTGATGGCAATTCCTCATCTCATATTCCTGCTTCCTCCCCAGCTATGCATTTATTATAAAAATTGACTGGTTTTTTTTCAATGTGATGTTTGTATGTAATCAGATTTAAAGCACAAAAGTCTGAATGATATTCTTGTAAGTTTCTCTTTAGCGTACTGTAAACTGTCACAATGAGAAATGTATGAGCTGTGTAAAGAATGGCATTTTTACTATTGCCTCTTAGGATGATGGTTACATACTCACCTGTGGGGCAGACGTACAAAAATGGAATTATGTGCATACAAGTGGAGGAAATTTTTTAGTTTCTTAAACAGATGTACTGATGTTTTGTTGCTTAGATTTAATTATTTAATTATTCCGATAATTTAGAAAATAGATAGCTAAGGTTGCTCTGGTGCTTTCTTTCCATTCTACCATTTTATCTTGGCTGCTTTGCCTTTTTGGAGGGGCTAGATTGTCTGCTTTGTTGGCAAGTTTATCCATTCAAACTACTTTTTTCTTTCTTCCATTCTTTGTCTCTGTGTTGGACAGGCTTTTCTGAAAACTTGGGTTTATGGGGAGATAAGGGATCCCAAAGAAATCCCAACTGCACAGGCAGTCTGTTTCATTACAGAAGTTTGGAGGTTTTTGTTCCTCCTCATTTTTTGAGAAGCTTTGGATCTCTGAGACCTCTTTCTGAGAAGAGCGAAACAGCTTTTTCCTTTGTGTGAGAAATGTGCCATCCTCTCTTCTGAAAACTTCTGCACGTTTTGCTAAATGCTGTTTCTTCAGTAGATGACCTGAAGTGTTAAACCAGTATCAGAACAAAGAGGACTTTGATGCATCAAGCAAAGCAACGAGTGCTGTCATGGCAAGGCATTAAATGAAAATGATTCTAAGGGTGTTGTAACCCACACCTGTAAGAACTGAGTTATATGTGCACTAATAGCCTTGATTTGTTATGTGCTAATTGTGCTTGATTTTACTTGGTACTGTTTGTCTTTAAACTTTTCAAGAGGAGAACTGTTTAAAAAACAAACAAAAAACAACCTTGAGAGACATTAAAACCTTTTTACGAGAGAGAATGTATTTAAAGAACTTTAACTGATTTTATTTTTTTTTTTTCCCAGAATGGTGAATACATGCAGATGATTATCAGAATTGTGTAGACTTTGCTTTTTATTTGAGAGCTTATAAAACTTCTCATCATGGAGAAACAGCAGATTGTGCTGGCTAACCGGGACGGTGGGACAGTGTCTGGCTCAGCACCTGCCTTTTTTGTTATACTGAAACAACAGCAGGGAAATGGCAAAGGCGACCAAGGAATCCTAGTGGCCAACCGTGATGCTTGCGCTCTGGCCAGTGGCGTATTAATGCCAGTAAAACCCAAAATCAAGACCTGCCTCCCAGCTGACTGCGTCTCAGGGGGCATCACTGTCACCCTAGACAACAACAGTATGTGGAATGAATTCTACCATCGCAACACGGAGATGATTCTGACGAAGCAGGGGAGGCGCATGTTCCCATACTGCCGATACTGGATTACAGGTCTGGATGCCAGCCAGAAGTACATCCTGGTCATGGACATCTCCCCCGTGGACAATCACCGATACAAATGGAATGGCCGCTGGTGGGAGCCTAGTGGGAAGGCAGAGCCTCACGTTCTTGGACGAGTGTTTATTCATCCAGAGTCGCCTTCCACTGGCCAGTACTGGATGCACCAGCCGGTATCTTTCTACAAACTCAAGCTTACCAACAATACCCTGGACCAGGAGGGTCATATCATCTTACATTCTATGCACCGCTATCTGCCACGCCTTCACTTGGTTCCTGCAGACAAAGCCACTGAAGTCATTCAGCTCAATGGTCCAGATGTCCATACGTTTACCTTTCCACAGACAGAGTTCTTTGCAGTTACAGCCTACCAGAATATTCAGATTACCCAGCTGAAAATAGATTACAATCCTTTTGCTAAGGGATTCAGAGATGATGGCTTGAATAGTCGGCCTCAGCGTGATGTGAAACAAAACAATAGCTTTGAACTGGAAGAAGGTAATGTTTTTAGCTCTGCCAGCATTCGTAGTTGCCCTGCTGAAGTTGACATGTTAGAATTACGTCGGAGAATAGATTCTTCATTCATTGGTCAGAACTCATCAGCCATGAACCTGGAGAAAGAATCCTTTAATACAGAACAAGACTTTGTAGGTTTCCTGGACGCTGGCCTGCCTTCCAGTGATACGCCAAAGCTAAAACAAGAAGTCACTGAGAGGTGGGTTAGCATTCTGTTTTTATAATAAATGCCTGTTGAGTGAGATATTTGGTAACGCATCAAATAATGAGATGCTTAGTAGACAGATGCATGGATAACATTTGTTTGACCTGAAATGGTGGAATTGCTGAAAACTTTTCCTTCCTTTAGGTAGTCATAGAATCATAGAATCACCAAGGTTGGAAAAGACCTAAAAGATCACCCAGTCCAACCGTTCACCTATTCCCAATAGCTCCTACTAAACCATGTCCCTCAACACAACATCCAGCCTTTCCTTGAACACCCCCAGGCTTGGTGATTCCACCACCTCCCTGGGCATCCATTCCAGTGCCTGACCACCCTTTCTGAAAAGTAATACTTCCTCATGTCCAGCCTGAATCTCCCCTGCCGTAGCTTGAAACCATTCCCCCTGGTCCTATCACTAGTGACATGAGAAGAGGCCGACCGCCAGCTCACTACAACCTCCCTTCAGGAAGTTATAGAGAGCAATGAGGTCTCCCCTGAGCCTTCTTCTCCAGGATGAACATTCCCAGCTCCTTCAGCCTCTCCTCATATGGCCTGTGTTCCAGACCCCTCACCAGCTTTGTTGCCCTCCTTTGAACACGTTCCAGGGCCTCAATATCTTTCTTGCAGTGAGGGGCCTATCTATCAGTTCGAACTTCCTAATGTATCTGAGGAGTACAAGAGTTTGGTGGTTTTTGTATGTTGCTTTAATTCGCTTTGTAAAGAAATGTTGAGGGATTCTTGTTAACTCTTGTGGTATTTAGAAGTCTAAAGTTAGTTGTTTTGAATTTTAAAGAGAGCACGTTTCAGTCATGCAAAAGTTGCCATTTTTTTTTTTTAAGAGTTTCTTACCACCACAACAGGCTGTCTCTGTTTCTTCATTTTTCATTAGTGAATGAGTGAGGCTGTGTGAGGGTGATGTGTGTTTGGATTGGGTATGTGTAGTGGTTACCCCACTGCAGTAGTGGACTACTGATAAACTACATGTTTTGTCAGTAACTTCTTATGGGAATTCTTTCCTTCTTCAAGGGAGATTGAAGCAGCCCACCTTTCAGTGCTTCAGTACTTAATCTGCCAAAAAATCAGTATCAAAAGCAACCTTATGTAGATGAGTATGCCAAGACATTATTTAACTGCACATAACTACTTTGTCAATTAACTAGGAAATCAGGATGATATTAACTGTGTAATTCAAGCTCACCTCCTAGAAGGGAAAAAGTGTGTTAATTATAATGTAATTGTAGCTTGCTTCAAAGACTGTAGTACATTCAGCGTGTTTAGAGAGGGTAAAGATTTATTTGATTGGTTTTTTTCCTCGGAGAAATGATCTTCTTGCCTTTTGAGTAACTGCAAAACCTTGAATTACAAAGTTGTCCATTCATTGAGCCTTTCTGATTGTGGTTAGTCCTGACTATTCCAATTGCTGTGGATTTGGAGTGTCCTAGATTGTGCAGTAATTTCCAGTAGCAGTGTATTAGAGAGAACGTCTCCTATACTTCTTAGATAGTCCAGAAATGTAAATTCTAGAGAAATATTTTCTGGTTGTAGATCAATGCTTAGATGACTTTTTGTTGTAAGCAGATTGTAAGTAAAACACTACATCTCTGAAAGTAGCTACTGAGAAGTTTGAAAACTTACTTTGTCTTTGAAGTGATTTTTTTTTTCTCTTTGGAGTCAGTTCCTGTTGCAGAAGCTTAAAGTTTTGTTCATGGTCACATTGTTCATTAGCTTTGCCTGAAGAGTGTCATTGAAGCAAATCGTTTGGAGAGATGTTCAAACAATAGCTTCTGTGGCTTTATTTTTTCCTCCCTCCTGTTTCCCTTTATTTCCCAAAGGATAAAAGCCATAGTGCTGAAAGTGTAGATGTTATCTCACCCAGTAAATTTTGGGCTGTTTTAGAATTTTCTTTTTCCCTTTGAGTAATTTTAAGGACTTGAGAACCTTACTGAAGAGCAGCTCATTTGACTCAACAGGCTTTGTTTCTTCTGGTTCAGTGTGTATAAGATGCCTTCCCCAGTTTCATCTCAAAGACAATTCACCTCTTAACTGTGCTTAGAGATGCTCATAGAGGGAGAATCCCTAAGGCATTTTCCTCTGTTCTAGGAAATATTAAACATTTTATGAGTAAATATTTCTCACAGTTCTAAAACAACCTTCAAAATTAGTCCAGCTTTCTGTTCTATCTTCTCTAATCTGTGCAAAACAGCCAAATTCTGTACTTGGAAATAAAAAATAATCTCACCCAAGGAATGGCAGAACTCTTTGTTTATGTGCCGAGTTGTTCAGGACATTTGTTCTATTTTTTTCCTTCAAACCTGTTTACAGAGTTTTCATGCCACTCATCAGCCTTTCAAGGACAGCATTTGAGTGAGTGGTATCCTCTTTTATCAAACAACGACTGTTATATTTACACTTTGATAACTGTTATTTCCCTGTACATAGTGTTACCTATAAATTGGTGGGCACTGTCTTGCCTCTAGACAGGGTAATGATTTTGGCTGGCTTTAAATTTGTGGAAGAGTTAGAAGCTGGGAGCTGCTGCTCTCAGGTGATGTATCCAAGGGAGGTGGAGTTCCTAGTGCTATAGAGTGCTTGTGCTTAGTTTTGCCAACTGAAAGGTTTCCTTTGCTGCAAATGGAACTTCATAAGAGGGTGCATGCAGCTGAGAAGAATTTGAATCTTGAGTTGTTTGTTCCTACACTTTGGAAATAAATATCTCATGATACCAGGTAGTCTGTTTTGTTCAGTGCTTTGGAAATATGCTTCTTTTTATCAGGTGTATTGTAAGAAAAAACAATCTTTAATTTTAGTTATGGGCACTTCTAAGTGGAAGTTTATACCTTCAACCACTGAAATGCTGGGAGCATGGAGGTAATTGCAAGCAAAAGATCGTGATTCTTAAGTCTTATAGGCTGCTGCACACTTTTCCCCTTCAAGGTCCTTCGAATTTTTTGGTTCAAAAATAGAAATACTGTGGGAGGCTTGAATGCTCCCATAGGCCTGCTTTTCTGATTTAGTAGTGCTGTGTTTAGTCTGAAAGTTTGGTTTTCTTTTCCTCCCTGGCTTTCAGAAGAGTGCTGTAGTAATCATCCTCCAGCCTCAATCGCAGATAGCAACAGGTTTCTAGATCAATTCCAGAAGAGTCCATGTGTTCCATAGTGTATTTTAAAAATGATCTACATAGAAGAATCCAGGTAAATGAGCAGCTAAAAATTCAGTACATGAGCAGTTGCGTGGTTTATTGTGGCAAAATGCAGGAGAATTTCTTCCGTGTGTTTGCTGTTTAATCGTGAGGTATGAAATAGTATGTTACATGGGAGTATTAAAAAAAAAAAGCAACTTGCTCAAATGTGAGCATTGTCCCACATCAGGTAAGGGAAGAAGCAGTTCAGAGATGATCTCACCATTTCTAGCTGATCTGAGATTATAGGGAAGATTCTGAAAGGACAGACTGTGTGATCTGCCTTCACAGAGAGTATAGGAAATGTTGCGGTGGTTTTGTTGGAAGTAGTGCACTTCACAAACTAAAAGCAAAAGAAATGAGAACAGTGCTACAAAGAAACTTGTTACTGTTGTCCATGAAGTTCATAATTGCATTTGAATTTAAAATATTTGGACAAATATTTGATCTTTTTTATGTACACACATGGATGATACCTCACTTGTCACCATTTGACTTATAGTTGTAATAGGAAGAGGAAAGTGGCGTTTGTGCCTAGGAATTTGATTTTTACAGCAGAGCTTCTTTGATTTAGGTAGGTACTGTCCAAATCTCTCACAGAATCATATTCCTTAGCTTGAGGAATGCATCTTGCAGTGGGTAAAGAAAGATGTCTGGAAAAGCCCAGACTTTGTTTGGCTTTCAATTGGAAATAGTAGAATTCGAATGAGACGTTTATTTGTCTCTTCGTTTTAGAGAGTTTTAAGCGTTGCCCAGGACCTCTAAGCATATTGTCCTAGAATTTTTCTTGCTCCTTGAAGGAGAAAGGCTATTTAATCTTGCATTTGACATTCTTCATGTAATGAATGTTAGGAACTTGCTTATAGAAAACTCCATGGACAGAGAAGACAGTAGACAAAACAAGATTCTCCTGCAGCACTACAGTTACCTCAGCAGGCACACTTTTTTCTTCAAGCTTAACTCTAGTTACTCAGTGTCCCTGTGGATTTTCTAGAAAGAGTCTGTCTTCCTCCTAGGAGTTCTATTTGTAAGTATATAAATCTGCATCCTTGTTTTACACCACAGTCTTTCTTTATGAGCTACTCCAAGTCATGACTGCTGTGTGTGTTCCAGGTTTTCTCCTTTAACTGTGCCCTAAGTCTACACAAGGCTGAAGCAACCTTCTTCTCCGCTTCTTCCTCTTCCTTTATCACAGTCCAGGATTCAATTGAGAATGGTCATTTCTTCAGGGGGAAAAATAAACAGAGAGAACAAGCTTTGTGTTTGTACATACCATCTGTATAAACAATATTAAAATATCAATATATAATGATGTTACAAAAGCTGTTACATTATTGAAATTGTTAACATGAACAAAAATTAACATAAATACTGATTTTGAACATCTTGGTAATTGCATGATGTTAACATAGTTTTAATATTTTAACATACTTTTAATATATAATGTTGTATAATACTTACAAAGAGTATATTAGAATACCATTCAATATGCTTACCAATGGACTTCTGTTAATTTCTGAGTTTCATTCTACATTCGAAATTCTTGTTTTGTATTTTATGTGTTTTCTTATGATGAAAAGCCAGTTTTTGAAGTTCTTAACAGAACTGCTGACTGTAGTTTTCTGACTGAAATGTCTGCTACTCAAAGCAGCCCATCATTTGGGAGTGTGACTGGCTGTCCATAATGTCCAATTTGTGGTATGTAACACCCTGATTAGGTCAGTACTCCATCTGAGTGGAAGATGATGCACAGTTGAACAGATGGTTAACATTCTGTAATTGTTTTGGATCAACAGTTTCATTTAGGAATGGTTTTAGTGCAGCTTCAGGGTGAATTAATTAAAATTTTGCTTAAATCTTTTGAACTGGAGTATATTAAGCACTTATTTAGCTTCTCGTTTGCAAATAAAGTAGCTTTGACTAAAGTGACAGTTCAACATTTGGTAAACCGAGTCCACTTCTAAGCATTTAAAGCATAAAAACTTAGCGTCAGTCATGTCATGCCTCAAACAGGAAAGCTGCAAATGTTATCCTGGTATTACTAGGGAAGGAAATGATGCTGCTGCTTTCACAAAGAAGCTGTATTGTCTTCAATGATGGCAGATGGTAGGAGGTTGTTGTTTGTTTGTTTGTTTTTCTGATTGGTTGGTTGTTTTTGAATGATCACTACTTAAAATGTAAGCTTGTAAATGACATCGTATTTAGCCAACTCATGGCTTGGAGCATTTTGGAAGTTCTTTACAATGTGCAGCAGGGGGTTATAGGAGATGATATTGTTTTGGCAAAGTTGGAGATTTTATGAAGATCTGTTGTGTTTTTTTTTCCTTCCTGCCCAGTCCCATTGCTAGCAGTTATGAGAGCAGCTCCCGAGTGGCATCCCCACTGGACCCCAGTGGACAGTTCAATGTAGTCATTAAAGAGGAACCCATCGATGATTATGACTACGAGACAAATGTTTGCACACAAGGAGTAAGTGTGAAACAGGAAGACACGGATGAAGAAACTGATGAGTATTCTAACACTGATGATGATGACGGTCCTGTCCTACAAAAATGCCTGAGGAGATACAGTGAAGCAGATAGAAATGATGGAGACTTCAAGTCTAGGAAGCGTGTCCTATCCAGTCCTTCAGGTGTTGCCAAGGCAAAAATGTTAAAATTGGAAAGTGGGAAGATGCCTGTGGTTTATTTGGAACCTTGTGCGGTTACAAAGAGTACAGTGAAGATATCTGAGCTACCACAGACCATGCTGTCCTCTTGCAAGAAAGACAAATCCGTGTTGAATACAGTACTGGATTCTTTACCAGTCTGCTTTGAAAATCACAAAGGTTCTTACTCAGACACAGCTGCTATAACTGAGGAGATACCCATGAAAAAAATGTCTCCTGGAAATAAACTGGCACAGAAATATTCCTCAATCAAAGAGGCCCAATGGATTCTATCTAAATCACCTAACTTTAATCTTAGGAGCTCCGTAAGTTGTCAGATTTCAGAAAAAGAGATTTGTGGAAGAAAAAAAACTGGAGTACTGAAGAATTCTGCGTCCCTGAAAGGCTCTGGTAGCAGTCAAAACTCACTGTCATCAGGTACCACTAAAAGAGGAAGGCCACGGAAACTGAAAATCTCCAAGGCTGGTCGGCCACCAAAAGGTATAGGGAAACCTGTGATAACAAGCAAGAACAGCCCTGTGGGGCCTGGGAGTATCCTTCCAGATGTTAAGCCAGACCTTGAAGATGTTGATGGAGTCCTCTTTGTGTCCTTTGCATCAAAGGTAAAACCAAACTGTTTCAAATTAAATTCAACCAGTTTTTACTTAAATGCTGAAGGTATATTTTCGTTTAAACTGAGTTTTAAAATGTGTGAACACCTCAGTTCTGTCGTTATATTGTCTCAAAATTAATCATGTCTGTCTTAATGACTTCTGGAAAAAATAGTGGGTTATAGGGTTCTGTATAAGATAAAGCATACTTGTTTGTTAGTTTGTATTTTGAATATTTCAGTGATACTTGATGTGACTTAGTTTGTATGTAAGGCAGTTTTTTGAGGCATATTATTTAAAGCTCTTTATGTATGTAGGAAGCTCTTGACATTCACACTGTTGATAGAGCTGGAGGAGAAGAATCACAGAATCTTCAGGCTCCCTTGTTGACTACAAATGATCCAGGTAATTTTGGGGGATTTTTTTTGTGAATGGATATTCCCCACGGTAAGAGAATTTAAAAAGGCACATTGGAAGATCAAATCATTAAGTCATTTTTTGGCACATGAAATATCTTTTGTTCTTTTTATATTTTTGAGAAGATTGTCAGGCAAGAATACAAGTACTGGAAAAGGAATTGATGGAAGAGCTGAAAACCTTGAGGCATAAGCAAGTAATACATCCGAGCCTTCAGGAAGGTAAGTGTGCAGTGTATATATTGTTGTATATTATACTTGATCATGCAGAGTTGATACATTCCTACTGGGTTTAAAACTATGTATGCTTAATACAATTGCCATCTGATTTTTGGTTACTATTTTTAGACAAGTATTACTGAAAAATGTACACGTTTGTATGTACAAATAGGAGAACATGAATGGAAAACTGTAAACGTGGTTGGTTTCTCTCTTGCTACTTGTGCCAATGTCAAGAAAATCCAAGGTATTTTATGAAGGCTTTTTTGTGTGGTTTGTTTGTGGGTTTTTTTGTTGTTTTTTTTTGTTTGTTTGTTTGTTTTTCAGACTTCCAAAGTAGTTTCAGCCAGCCAATAACAATACTTTTGTTTCCACACCTTCATGTTGCAAACTAGAAGGGGTGGAGGGAAGTAAGAGGTTACTCCTGAATCTCTTACAGCAAAGAGGGCTTGTGTCATTTTATATATATACCTGTGTAGAGGATGCTGAGACTTTAGGCCGTGCCTGTTTTGTGATGAGTTAATCCTTGTAGAGGACAGGTGGAGCTAGAAGTGGAGAAGTGTTTAAGTTAGACTACTTTTCATATGTCTGATTTGGCCTAGATCCAGGTTCACTATTCGCATAGGAAGACTCAGCAATGTACTTCTAGCTTGTGATCAGGTAGAAGAAGGATCAGTGCTATCAAAAGAGTGATGATGGTGAAAATCTTTGGCAATTCTGAGACTGGCTTTGGCATAGGCTTCAGAGCAACTGATGAAAGAACTGATCAAAATTGAAGCATCGTACCTCTTGTTCTTGAGGTTCTCTGAATTTCTTATATGTGTAACTGCAGTGCTGTAGGAATTTTGACTCCAAATACTGCTGCTAGTTATGTTGGGTCCTGACAGATTTCTGCTGTGAAGAACCATGGATTATCTCCAATGGCTCATGCACTATGTGTGGTGAGATCAAACCTGTCAGTTTTGGCAGCCATTTAAAGGGCTGCCTTTATATTTTAGTGTTGAAGTGATGTTTGTGTCTTTCATTTTCACAAATCATAGAATCAATTTCAGTGTTGTGGAATTGCTTGGGTTGGAAGGGACCTTAAAGATGGTTTAGTCCAATACCTCTGCTGTGGGCAGGGACACCTTCCAGTAGCACAACTTGTCCGTAGCACCATCCAGGCTAGCCTAGTACATTTTCAGGGGTGGGGTATAGAATAGAATCTCTGTGGAGTTGGAAGGGACCTTTAAAAGGTCATCTAGTCCACTGCCCTGCAATGAACAGAGACATCTAGGTCTAGATCAGGTTGCCCAGAGTCTGATCCATCTTTGCCTTGGAAATCTCCAGGGATGAAGCATCCACCAGCTCCCTGAGCAGCATGTTCCAGTGCCTCACCACCTTCACTGTAAAATAATTTTTTCTTTTATGCAACCTAAATTTACCCTTGATAAGCTTGAAACCATTTCTCCTTGTTTCTGTCACCACAGACCCTGCTTAAGAATCTGTCCCCTTGTTTTCTGTTGCTCCCCTTTAGATAGCAAAAATCTACTGTCAGATCATCTCACAGGCCTAACAGCCCCAGCCCTCTCAGACTGTCCTTATAGGAGCGGTGTTCCATCCCTTGAATCATTTTTATGGCCCTCCTGTGGGTATGCTCCAACAGGTCTATGTCTCTCCTGTATGAAGGACTGCACATTGCTGGCTCTTGTCCAGCTTTCTATCCACCAGTACCCCCAGATCATTTTCGAGAGGTCTACACTCAGTCTTTTCATCCCCCAGCTTGTATTGCTAATCCACAGCTTCTCTGGTGGTGGTGAATTCTCAGCACTCTCAGAGTAAGGAATTTCTTTCATACATCTAATCTAAATCTACACTCTTTTAGTTCAAAGCCATTACCTCCTATCACTGCACTCCCTGATCAAGTCCCTCTCTGCAGTTCCTGTTCTTCCTCATTAAGTATTAGAAGCTCATAATGAGGTCTTCTTGGAACCTTCTTTTGTGTAGGCTGTGAAAGAACAGCTCTCTCAGCCTGTCTTCTTGGGAGATAACCCACCTCTCAGCTAGATTTTTCCCGTGTGGTATATAAGATCAGTGTTGATGGTTGTATCATGGATGTCTAAATGCAGGTTTCCTCTCCCATTATTCCAGAAATAGGTGTCCTGTTTTACAAAGACCTGACTTCAATCCATAGCCTCACACATCTGTGTTGCCATATTTCAAAAATTGTGGTAGAAATCTTTTCTAGTCAGCTACTAGCAATGCTGCATGTTGCACTGAGCAAATGTTATAGTATGGCAGTACTGAAAAAAGACTCTAGGATTTGCCTCTTGGCCAGTTGAAGGTCTGTGTATTTTCCCAGTTACATCAACATTAAGTCCTGGATCTTGGTGCAACCTAATCAGCATTCTCGATGTTGTTACTTGTTCTTCAAAATCTCTTAGCCACAGACCATAACTAATATCTCCTTATGGTCTGCTGCAAAACAGACGAAGAGGTATGGCTCCTTCCTTTCTCAAAGAAGCAAAGTGCATGTTTCTGAGTGTTCATTCAACCATCTGGTTGAAGCTTACTGGCTTTTTTGCCCTCTGTGTAGTATAGTAAATGGAAATAGCATTTTTGGCATTAACTTTGCTTTGGTTTTGTGTAATGTAGTTGAGAAGCATAAGTATCTCTTGATATTCATGGATACCTGAAGCCTACAATTGCTATTGAGTTGTGAAGTTAAGAAACTGAATATCCACTGCAGCTTGCATTATGAAGTTAATGCACTTAGTCATCAGATATAGAAAAGTATTTCTGGTTGGCTAGAAATCCATCAGTACTTCCTGTGGAGACTAGCATAGGTAAAGGATGGACTGCAAAATGCATCTGAAGCAGTGATTGTGAAGATCTTAAAGGCATTGAGACTGCAAGAAGATGCTTCTGAAAGATGGAAATTCAGCTTCAGCATGTTAGGAAGAAAGCTCCTTCTAGAGTACTGCTATGCTATGGAGAGCCTCTTCTACCTGGACTAATTTGAATCCCTTGTCATGTGCCTGAAAATCAAAGCACTGTTGTCTGGCATTGTGATTCAGAGAAAATTGTTGTGGAGGGAGTTCTTAATTTGCTACTGTTTGACTGCAGCAACTGAACTTAGCAGTGCGCTGGCGATGATGAGGAATTGATAGAAGTGATAGTTTACCTGTCGTGTTTAGTGATGTCCATACAGACATATTTATTCTCTTCAGGCTGCGTTCTGAAAGCAACAGAATAATTCAAATGGAGTGTCATGAAGAATCAACTGCCTGCTCTTTCCTTTAAAATCACTTTGAAAATAAATAGATGCCGTCCTGACATTTGGCAGTTGATGTGTTTTTATACAAAATGCTACATTGCCTTACTTGTTGTGCTCATCTTTGCCATGTAGATGTGGGAATTGTATCTGTCGTTGGTGAAGGTGTTCTTCAGTAGCCACATCTGAG